GGTGGGGCGTCAGGACGGTTAAGCAACGAGTGGCAGCCCCACCGGCTCCCCGGGGCGACAGAGGCCGCCTGCTCCCCACCACCCCCGCTGGCCAGCGGCACGTGTGTCCCCCGCCTGGGAAGCAGGGCCAGCAGCACGCGCCCGGCCCCAGGCCTGACAGCGAGGCGGGGCTGGGGCCAGTGTGCAGACCTGCCCGGACATCTCCCACTGTTTAAAACCATGCACAACATCCCAGGAAGCTGCTCCGGCCCGCAGGACAAAGGCAGCGGAGGAGGAGAGGGCTTGAGACAGATGGGGGACACTGGTCTGGGAGCAGGCAGGAAGCTCAGCCGTGGGGGATGGGCTGCTCCCGGGACTAGTGAGCCGCCCATCCCAGCGAGTATGCAAACAGGGCCAGGAGGAGCCCACAGAGGGCGAACAGAGGCCTTCGCGGTCTCCTCCAGACTCAAGACTCTAGGCCCTGTTTCGGGCAGTTTCCAGCCCTCGTGTAGTATTTGTGCATCTGCTCTGAGCACCCACCCCTCCCCAGGGGGCCCCCCGGAGTCCGGGCAGCAGGCTTCCTGCTAGGGAAAGATGGGGAAGCGGGGCTGTCCATGTTTCTGTGTACCCGCCTCGTCACAGACGAGGGGCCCCAGAGCCCCACGGCAGGAGAGGGGCCCAGGCAGCCTGTCCTGGTCTGGGGCAGGGGTGGGTCGGGGGTGATCACAGACAGAGCAGAAGTCACAGGTGGGCCCAGACCCTGGGTGGACAGGAGCAGCCAGGGGTGGACATGGTCTAGGCTCCAGAGGGAAGAGCCCTGGCTCGGCCTGGCCGGCTGCTGGCGTGGTGGCCTTGAGGGAGGTCCTGCGCCTCCCAGGACGTCTGCTTCCCCTCAGGGCCACACAACCCCCGCTGTTCTCAGTTCGACCCCAGGAGCCCCTGGGTCAGGACTTTGGCCCTTCAGACTCCTCAGCAAAGTCCTCGATTGCCAAGAAAAGACAGGTTTGCTTCCCTGAATTGACAGTCGAGGGGGAAGCCGGGCAGAGAACTCCTTGCCTGAGGCCGACGGGCGTCCAGAGGCCAGGAGGCTGAGTGCCCGTGTGCAAAATGCTCATTTAATAGCATTATTTTAAATACAAATAAAATAGTCATCTGAATTCACTTTCTTTAAACCCTCTACCTTCCGTACTTGTCCAGACACTGGGAAAAGTGAAGTGGGAAAAAGTCAAGTTTGGTGCATCGGGAAGCTACTTGTGAGATGAGGACAGTGGGGGTGGGAGGAGGCCCCCAGCCGCTGACCGCCCTGTCCCGCCCCGCCCGCTCCAGCTTTCGAGCAGATTGGTGGGTATGAGCAGCTGGCAGCAGCCTACGCCCGGGCCGTCCCGTCCAGGACCATCTCCAACACGACCTGCCACCTGCCGCGGGCAGACGCCATGCACATGTTCCGAGACCCCTACACGGGGGACCTCCCGTGGACTGGGATGACCTTCGGCCTGACCATCATGGCCACCTGGTACTGGTGCACTGACCAGGTGAGTGGCCAGGTCACCACTCACCCCACCCTCCTGCCTTCCAGGGCAGGCTCGGGAGGCCCGGGAGGCCTTGGGAGCCACCCACACGGTGAGCCCAGGCTGGGGCGGAGGCCGTGGACGGCATGGCTCCAGGCTTGGGCCCAGGGTGCTAGGGGTCCTTGTGGTCCCGGGGGGGCTGGGCCCGCCGTTTAGAGTCGGACGATGCCCACTGGCCGCCACCCGTCCTGGCCTTCAGGTGCTTGGACTGGGACAGTTTGGAGTACGGGATTCCGAAAGGACTTGGGCGCTCCTCGGTGGCCCTGCTGTCGGCCAGGGGGCTGGCGTTTCGGGCCGGCCCTGGGCTCCCAGGGCCTG